AACAAAAAAGTAAATAGCAAGTGGGTAAAATAAATTGAGGGGGGGTGGTGTCGGGGATGTTGCTCAGTGTTCTCTAGGCCTAATCCCCAATGCTGCCCAATAAAAAGAAGGAATAAAAGAGACAGGGACAATTTAAGGAGCCATCAAGTAGGGAAATGACTAATGATATTGTAATACATCCAAATCATTAAGTAGCTGGTGTCCATATCCTTTAAAAACAAAAGTCAACCCCACCACCTGCTTTGCAAGCACAAGGTCCCAAGTTCGATCCCTGGTACAAAAAGAAAAAAAAAGTCAACCTATAGAAATAGTTATGGAAAGAATTGTAAAACTTTTTTTTTTTTTTTGGCAGTATTGGGTTTTAAACCCAGGGCCTTTCTACTGAGCTACATCCCCAGGGTTCTTTTTTATTTTTTACTTTGAGATTGGATCTCACTAAGTCACTAAGTTTCCCAGGCTGGGCTTGAACTCCTGGTACTCCTGCCTCAGCTTCCCAGAATGCTGAGGTTATAGGCATGAGCCACCACTCCCAGCTAAAATGTATTCTTAAGTGGAAAACAGGTGTTGCACAGCAATATGTACAGTAATTTTTTTTATGTAAAACGTATTGTGTAAATGTGTAAGGCCCTGGGTTTGATCCCAGCAATGAAAAAAAAAAAAGGTGTGAGAATCACATTTGTTTTTAGAAGAGCAATGCAATTGTCTTCCCCTACTCCTTCCTTCAAACAAACAAAACACACAGGTCAGATATAAGTTGTAAAAAAAAAAGCAATGTATTATTTATAAACCAATCATACAATAAAACAATTTTTAAAAGTCACAAATACAGCAGGTGCATAGTCACTTTGGAGTCAAGTACCTCTTAAATATGGTTGGTTTTTTTTTGGTAACGGGGATTGAACTCAGGACCTTGTGCTTTCAAGGCAGGCGCTGGAACTACTGAGCTAAATCCCCAGCCTCCTCTTAAATATGTTGCAAGCCCTTTCCATTCACGCTATTTCCCAAACGAATGTGGTTCTAACCCTGTGAAGTCTCTGTAATTTCCTATTTGATAACAGGTGAACAAAGCTTGACAATAAATATCCCAACAATAACTTTTAAAAATACTAAGTGGTAAATATCCCCCTTAGTTGTAAAACTAAGTCTATTACTCAGACTGCGGTAAGATCTTATAACAAAGTTGATTACCATGTTTAAGATCCACAAATTTTTCTGGGATTATAACACAGGCAAAAGCTCAAAGGAATAATAAAGAAATAACTTAAAGTCCTAGTACATCAACAACAAATTTCATTACTAGCAGAATAGTAAGAGACGTGAAATGTTCTTCTTAGCTTTTCTTTTCAGAAACCATTGTGCAAGCTCTCAGGCCAAGGGTTCTCTGGCTTTCTGATGCGTGGACAGCACAAGCCTTGTAGAGGATCTGGTTCCTGTGGACTGAGCTGTCCTTACCCCCCCAAGGAGCCTACATTTATCATAACCCTTGCCAACTTCGGTGAAGAATCTAGAGCCACTCACTGGACCTGTGGGTTCTGTTGTCCCGCCAGAGCTCCCTTCCGGAGCTCCCTGCAATTAGCTGGGATTCTGACTCCAGCAGCCCATTCACCAAGTTAGCTTCCTCATCTGAAAAGCTGGAGAGTTGGAGAGATGCTCTCTGGGGCCTTAACCCCTAAAAAGGCTCGGATGGACCCCAGATTTAGAAAAATTACTTTCAACTAGAAGCCTCGTCTTCATGCCAGGTGTAGTTTCTGCATGACAGGTTTCTGTCTTTTCACCACCTTCTAAAAAAATCTGCTTTGGTCAGATCAGTTTCCAGGCCATCTGAATAGCAGAGTCTGATACTGCTGACTGGGTTAACATGGGGAGCTGTTCCCCTGCAGGCAGGGAAGCCCCCAGCAGTCCTGGGAGAAGCTGCATGGTAGGAAACACCAGCCCCTCCCCAGGAAGGAAGCTTCTTCCTGTGGAGTGGGGAAGCTCAGGAGGAAGCTTTAACACTGGTTGAACTTGAAGAATAAGAGCTGGACTTCCTGGAGAATTTCGTGGAGGTGTGGGAGATCTGCATCCGCTTCACAGTGCGAACACTGCGACAGAGGAGAGCATTCTTGGCGTGGTCCCTAAAATCTTGAGAGACAAAGTAATAGATGAAGGGGTCAATGCAGCTGTTGAGGGTGGACAGACAGAGGGCGGTGATGTACAGGGCATACACATGGCTCTGGCCTCGGCTCTTAATCAGGAAATAATGCACCACAAGTAGAAGGTTACTAGGTGTGAAGCAGACGAGGTACATGACCAGGACGGTAATGATGAGCTTGACGGCCCTGTGCCTTTTCTTCCCCGAGTGTTCATCCATGGCAGAAGATCGGAGTGCTCGGATCATGAGCACATAGGAAGATGCTGTGAGGAGAGCCGGGAACAGAAAGACGCCAATGGCCAGGGAGAGGAAGTAATTGAACATGTCCCCCACCAGCACCTCCTCGGGCAGGACGTCATGACAGGTCGTGATGTTAAGGGCTGGGATGTAGATGGTCTGCTTCATGACATACAAGGGGATGGTGACCAGCAGAATCAGCAGCCATATTCCCACAGAGACCCCGATGGCAATGTTTGCGTTCTTCCTGGGGTGCACTATGGGGTTCACGATGACCCAGTATCGCTGCACACTGAGGCAGGTCATGAAGAGAACAGAGCAGTACATGTTACCATAGAAGAAGCCGATAAGCACCTTGCAGAGGCCTTCCCCGTAAAACCAGTTGTTGCCATGTATGTGATAGGCGATCTTCAGGGGGAACCAGATGACTGAGAGGAGGTCTGCCAAGGCCAGGTTGGCCATGTAAATCACGGCAGGATGCTTCTTCTTTGTTCGGAAAAAAAAGACCCAGAGCGCCATGCTGTTGCTAGGCAAGCTGACCACAAACACGATTGTGTAGATCACTGGGAGGAAGACAGTCGTCAGCTTTCCGGTGAGGATGGACACGGAAAACTCATCCACTCCAAATCCTGGGGCCACCGTGACTCCTTTTTTGGTGACCAGAAGGTCATTGTCCTGGATCTTACCGATGAGACTTCTGCCCCTGGAGGTTCTGTTGACTCCCACACCTGAAAGGCAGGCAAAAGTGACATTTATCAAAATCAGTGTTTCAGAGGTAGGGCTGCTTCACTCACGTGAAAATATTCAGATGAGGGCAGAAATGTACCATTGGTGGATTACACAAAATGCATCTGTCTAGGGACTTCCTTGGGGTGACATTGTCCTTTATTGGAGGATTGTAGGGAACACATGGAAAACTGATTTTTAGGAATCTTGAAAAGATTGGAAGTATTTCAATTTATCTTTTTAATAAACTTCCCACACTCATTGGTCCTCAGCTGTTTTAGCACATGTCCATCAACAGTCAGTTAGCAACAATCAGTTTAGGACAGTGCCAAATTCGCTAGGGTGTACGACAGAAGCCCAGCTCAGATTCCCTGACCCACCAGCCCGGAGTCAGCGGCCGGCCTGACTTCCACTGACCCCATCTCAGAGCTCTGCACAGGACAACTCCCAGCACCATGAGGGGACGGTCCCACCCCGCCACATGGATGGTCTCTACGACAGGCAGGGACTCCGAGCTGCTGTGCTGGCCTCCTGAGAAACTTCCCATGGAGGCCGGATGGTGGCCTTCTGGTCTCAAGGTCATTGGACAAGTGGAGGTGCAATTGACACACTGTGTCCTGTTCTAGGGCTATTGTGTGAGTCCTTTAGCATCAACTCTGGGAAGAGATGTTCAGTAACACGCCTAGGATGCAGCCAGCAAAATCCAGGCTGTGGGAAGTGCTACAGGATAAAGGACCCAATTCCAAAATATAATTTACAAGGAAAAAAAAAAGAGGGAGAGAGAGAGGAATAGACATGAAATTTACTAAAGGATTGAAAAGATGCATCAGTTATATAATATGTGTACCTTCCTTGGAGCTTGATTCAAACAAGCCACTAAAATAACATGTAGGAGACAATTAGAAATGTGAACACTGACTGAAATCTAATGATACAGTACTAAGAAATTTTATCTGGCATTTGTTTCAGTGCCTGGAAACTTCAGACAGTGGCAGTTCCTCAGGTGGTTAAAGAGAGCTACCATGTGACTCACTAAATTCCTAGGTATATACCCAAGAGAAATAAAACATGTGTCCACACAAAAACTTGTACTCAAATACTCAGAGCAACATTTACAATAGTCAAAAATAAAAACAACCCAGGGCCAGGGATTTAGCTCAGTGGTTCCAGCACCTGTCTCACAAGCGCAAAGTCCTGAGTTCGATCCCTGGTACAAAAACAAACAAAAAACAAACCAGATTTGTATCAATGGGTGAATAAATAAAATGAGCTATATCCACACAATGAAATATTACTTGGCAACAAAAAGAAATGAAGTATTATAGCTGAGCATGGTGGTACATTCCTATAGTCTTGGCATGCAGGAGGCTGAGACAGAAAAATCACTTGAACCCAAGCTTTTAACCAGCCTGGGCAACACAGTGAGACTCTGTGTCGAAATTATATATAATAAAAATAAAGAAAATGAAGCATTGATACATGATATAACATAGATGAACCCTAAAAAAAAGTAGGATAAGTAAAAGAAATTGGTCACAGAGGAACATGTATTGTTCCATTTATATAAAATGACTGGGATAGGCAAATCCAATGAGCCATTGTCAAGGGCTGGGGAGTGTGACCGGTAACAGCCCAGGTGTTTCTCTTCAGATAATGAACAGGTTCTCAATTGGCTCTGGCGACAGTGCAGTATGAATACACTAACAGCCGCCCAACTGTACTTTTTAAATGAATGAGCCTACAGTTGCAACTGTATGATTTAATAAAGCTGTTAAAAGTAACAATGAAATGAAAGCATTTCCTCTAAAAACAGGAACAAGACAAGGGCGTCTAATCTCACCATTGGTGATCAACACAGTATTTGAATTTTAACCAGAGAATTCAGGCAGGAGAAAAAGTGGGAGGGGGGCACACAAATAGGACGGAAAGAAGTCAAATCACCCCAATTAGCAGATGATATGATCTTTACATAGACACCCTAAAACCCCCATCAGAACACTCTTAGCTCTAATAAGCAAGTTAACCAACTGGCAGGATACAAAATCAACAAACAAAAATCAACAGCTTTCCTATACACACCAAGAATGAACCCACCAAGAAAAATTTAGGGAAACAATCCCATTCACAATAGCTTAAATATATATATATATATCTAGGAATCAACCTAACCCAAAGGGTGAAAGACCTCTATAATGAAAATTACAGAACACTGACAAAAGAAACTGAAGATGTTAGGAAATGTAAAGACCACCCTTGTTCATGAATCAGAATTAATATTGATTCATTTTGTTTTGTTTTTTGAGACTGGGTCTCACTATGTAGTTCAGGTTGGTCTTGAAGTCACCAGGTAGCCCAGGCTGGCCTCGAACTTATGCGGATCCTCCTGCTTCAGTCTCCCAGAGTGCTGGGATCACAGGCATGCGCCACCATGAAGGGCCAGAATTAATATTGTCTAAATGACCCTATGGCCAAAAGCAATCTATAGATTCAGTGCGATCCTAAAATACCCACACCATTCTTCACAGAAGTAGAAAAAGTAAATCCTAAAATTCATATGGAAATAAATCTAGGCAAGGTGGTGCACATATGTAGTCCCGGCAGTTGGGAGGCTGAGACAGGAAGATCACTATGAGTTCCAGGCCAGCCTGGGCTACAAAATGAGTTCAAGGCCAACCTGAACTACATAGTGGAAACCCTATCTCAAAAAACCAAAAACAAAACAAAACTCATATAGAAACACAAAAGACCAAGAATAGCCAAAGCAATTCTAAGCAAAAAAGCAAAACTGGTGTGGCCTGGTGGTGCACACCTATAGTCCCAGCACTTAAAAGGTTGCAGCAGGAGGGTCACTGTGAAACTGAGGCCAAACAGACTGTGCTATAGTGAATTCAAGACCAGCCTCATTTACATGGTGAGAACTTGTCTCAAAAAACCAAAAAAAAAGAGCAAAGCTGGAGCCAATGCAATACAGGATCTCAAATTATACTACAAAGCCATAGTGATAAAAAAAAAAAAAAAAGCATAGTCCTGGCACAAAAACAAACCCATGCACCCACAGCCATGTGATCATTGACAAAGGAACCAAAAGCATACGCTGGAGAATAGACGGCCTCTTTGACAAATGGTGCTGGAAAAACTGGCTATCAACATGCAGAAGATTGAAGAGATCCTTACCTCTTCCCATCCTAACATCAAGTCAAAAAGGATCACAGAAGTAAAGATAAGACTTGAAACTCTGAAACTGCTAAAAGAAAGCACAGGGGAAACATTGGAAGCCATAGGCACAGGCAAAGGCTTCCAGAATAGGCCCCAGTAGCCATTAGGGAAATGCAAACCAAAAGTACAGGAGATTCCATCTCACAGCCCAGAAAGGTTGTCATCAAGAACACAAAAGAGGCCACCACACCTGCCCAATCCCAGGGCTGCTGCGGGGGGCTGAGGCAGAACTATTACCACCAGGGTAAGGCCAGCCTGGGCTATTGAAGGAAGGAAAGGAAGAAGGGAAGAAGGGAGAAAGGGAGGAAGGAAAGAAAAAATGCTGGCAAGGAATGAGGGAGCAAAAGCCCTTCCGTACTGCTAGTGGAAGGGTAAATCCACTGTGGAAATCAGTGTGGAGATTCCTCACAAAACTAAAACGAGAGCTACCATTGGATCCAGCTAGTATGCTGTATTCCTGAAAGAATTAAAGGCTGCATACTATAGCGATGGCAGCATACCCATGTTTTTTATAGCAGCACAACTCACAAGAGCTAAACTATGCAAACAGCCTAGCTGTCCATCAACAGATGAATGGATGAGGGAAATGTGGTCTACACACAAGGGACTATTATTCAGTCATGGAGAAGAATAGGATTGTGTCTTTGCAAGAAAATGGATAGAAGTGTAGACCATCTGGTGGAGCAAAATGAGCCAGTCTCATTCAGCAAGTTAAATATGACATGTTTTGTCTTATATGCAGGCAACCTAAAACTAAATTAAAATAAATAAGTTGGGTATATGTCTGTGATTCTAGCACTCTGAGAAACTGAAGCAGGAGGGTTGCAAATTCAAGACCAGCCTGGGCAACTTAGTCAGGCCCTGTCTCAAAATTTAAAATGGCTCAGTGTGAAGCCCAAGGTTTGAACCCCCAGTATTGAAAAACTGAAAACCTCATATGAACTGTGTCAGGAGTAATTCTACATAATTTTGGAGAAAAATCATTTGGTTAGACCTAGTTCTCCCACCTACAGGCCAGCTATGGCGTAACATAACTCCACTTTGGCCTCAGATCACAGCTAAGACCTCAATGATCCAGTGATGTTGTGATGCTCCAGGACAAGATTACACCAGCTGAAGACATCCTGGGAGGAACAAAATCTTCACCTGCATAGTTCCTCATTGTTCTAGGATTGTCGCCGCCACTGCTACTAAATGTACAATATTCACATTGCCATTGTTTTTCACAGTAAAACAAATGTTAATCTCAACACCTATGGAGAGAGGAACTAAGATGGGTGTGGAGGTACATGCCTCAAATCCCAGCACTCTAGGAGGCAGAAGCTGGAGGATCCCAAGTTCAAGTCCTGCCTGGGTAACCTACCAAGCTCCTGTTTCAAAATAAAAAATAAAGCATTGAGGATGAAGCTCAGTGCATGGGCACTGCGTTCAATCTCAGTACCACAAAGGGAGGAGGGATGGTGGACCAGTTCAGTAATTTGACATTTACAGTTCTTCTATAAAAGCATGGATTGATTTGGATACACTGACCATGAACAGATTTATTGGGTAAAAATAAATAAATAAATTACAGGGTGGTCCTTCCATTGTGTAAAATATACTATTTGTACACAGGGCTTCTAGTTGAGAGTGGGCCCAGGGTCCCCATCAAGCCATGTACCGATTGCACACTTCACCTGAGTAAGCTCTGATCCCTACCCCTTCTTCACAGACCCTCACCCCAAAATTCCTCTGCTTCCAACCTTTGGGACCACACCTGAGAAAAGGTTTCCATTGCCAAGCACCCCTCCCTAGAGACACTGTCCGTTGATTTTATAACCATTCTTGCAGGGTGAACTGTTTCCCTCCACATTCGCCCAGCTAATAAAACGCTAAGAAAGCCAAACACAGACTTTGTGAGACATGCCTGCCAAGGTTAACTAGTAACTCCGAGGCAAGAAAGGGGCCCTCTTCCTGTTCATTAGGGTTCTCTCCTTTTACAAAACAAGGGACACATCCCTAAGTTGACAATAATGATACATCCTCCCATAACAGATGGGGGTTTTTTGTTTGTTTTTGGTACTGCAGATCGCACTTGGGACCTTGCACTTGAGAGACAGGTGGTGGCACCACTGAGCTACATCCCCGGCCCTGGTTGTTTTTGTTTTTTTGAAACGGCCTCCATATATAGCCCAGGCTGGCCTTGAACTCACTGTATAGCCCAGGCTGGCCTCAAACTTGCAGCGATTCTCCTGCTTCAGCCTCCAAACTCAGTGCTGGGATTACAGGTGTGAACCATTCGGCCCAGCTATATGTATTGTCATACTACTGATGAACCTATATATCCTCATACTTGTACAAAAAAATTATCTATATTTTTTGAATACATTATTTTATGCATAGATATATGAAAGAAAGAGAGAAGATAAAAACCAAAAATGTTAGCAGTGCTATTTTTGGTAGAGTTTTGGGATGACTTCATTCAATTTTTTCCTTTTTTTCCTCTACAGTGATGACATACAACTTTATAATTAAAACACCAGTTGTGACCAGTACAAAAGTTACACTCTCCAAAAGAGAAACCCCAGTGTCCTATAACATCGTACAGAGAAAAAAGCATCTTGTTTCTTCTTTTCTTCTTCTTCTTCTTCTTCTTCTTCTTCTTCTTCTTCTTCTTCTTCTTTTTCTTCTTCTTTTTCTTCTGCTTTACTGGGGATTGAACTCAGGGCCTTCTTGCTGAGCTACATCCCAAGCCCTTTTTAGTTTTTGAGACAGTTTCACTAAATTGCCCAGACTGGGCTCAAGCTTGCGACCCTCCAGCCTCAGCCTCCCAGAGGGCTAGGACTGCAGGCCACACCCCCACGCCCAGTCCTTCACCTGCCATTCAGAGGCTCTGCAGGTGCCACACTGGGGATGGAGACTGTGGGGTGGCTCCCAGCCTCTGGGGTTGAAGACCAGTGGGGGGAGAGACTAAACACATGTACATGAACAGTCATCCGGGACCACTGAGAGGGCACCTAGAGCGGGGAGGAGGGCTTTCCCTGCCTTGCTCCCCCAATCAGTGTCGCCCACCTAAAATGAGGCTGCTCTTAGGTTGAGTCCTTCGCATTGTGCAGTCTTTGGGATGAGGCTTTTGGGAAGAAAACCAAACCCAATCTGCCCTTCAGCACGGAGGAAGGGGATGAGCAGAGCCCTCGTCCTGATGGAAATCAATTCCTGTCACTTTGGAAGGGAAGCTCAGGCACCTGAAATCTGCCTCACTAGTCCAACCTCGTACAGGAAGGTTACCTTGCAAAGGTCAAAGTATTCAGGGTGGAAAGAAAAATAACCAAGGTGCAATATTCAATAGGTCTGGTTAACAAGTAACCTGATCTTCCTTTTCTACTAAAGTCAAGCTCGCCCTGCATTCCAGGGTCCCCAGCCCCTCCTCGGTAAACAGCCAACAAGAATGAGCCCAGTAATGGAGCGGTTCCGCAGAAACCATCTGAATGGCGGGGCGGTGAATCACCTGTGCCCACTGTCACGTTCGTACATGACTTTTGCTCCTGGATTCTTAGAGTTCCGGACTTTAAAAGACACAGGCGAATGGGCAGATGTTAGTAAGTTTCACTACTTCCAGACTTGATATGAAAACCTATATTTAGACCAGCAGAGGGGAGGTTCAAGCTCACACCCTAACACCCTTTTTCCTAATTCCAGAGAGGAAAAGGACCACAGTCTCCAATCTAATTTACGTGCTCTTTTACGAGGTCTTCGGGAAGAGGGTAAAACAGAGATGCTTTTCACAGCTGGCCTGCGGACCGAGGGGAAATTCAAGCCTCCTTTTAAGGACACCCAGGCTGCGCCTCCCTCCTGTGGTGGGGGCTTAGTCAGCACCCCCGGAGCCGAGCTTTACACCCTCGGCCAGCCCGGGCCACGGCACAGGGCGACGCCAGCTCGGGCACACCCGGGGGACACGACAGCCCTCGCGCGGCCGGGGGAGGCTGGCATCGGGCACTGGGCACCGGGCGCCGCCCAGACTGCTCCTGGCCGTTGTTCCCAGGCTGGGGCCTGCGTCCGACAGTGGCCTCCAGTGTGCGCTCCAGGTGAAGGGAAGGAAGGAGCTGGGATCCCACCGCCGGCCGGAAGGTCACCCGTAACCACAGCACTGAAGGAGTCTGAAGCAGGCAGAGAGATAGCGAGTTCCCGAGCAGCCTGGACTATATAGAGAGACCCTGCCTCAAAATAAAATAAATTTAAGAATAAATAAATAAAAGGCGCTGGGAATGCAACTCAGTGCGAAGGCCCTGGGTTCAAAAGGGTGGAAGGAAGGGGCATAAAAAAAATGTAAGGCAGGTCCAAGAAGGGCCACCTGTAAAGGCACCTGAAACCCAAATAGCCAGAAAGTCCGGGCCTGACTGTCATACTCAGCTCATCCGCCGCCCCACCGTGGGCTCCAGGGGCGCAGAGGTCGAGGCAGAGTCCCGGGCCATCCGCTCGCCAGCCCGGGCCACCAGCCGGGCCCCGCCTCGCCCTGCCCGAGCCCCCACCGCCCAGCCCCGCGCCCCGTCCCCGGCCCGCGGCCGCAGCTCACCTGGCCCCGCGGTGCTGCCCGAGGCCGCGGCGGCCAGGAGGAGGGCGCCCCCCAGCAGCCAGGCCGGGCGCGGACCCCGCATTCCGCCGCCGACCGTGCCCGCACAGAGAAGCCGCCTCCGCGGACACTCACAGCCTCTGGGCCGCCGATCCGGCCGGGAGACTGAGGGGGCTCACCGCGGAGGCCACGCCCCTGCCTGTCACCTGCCCCACGCCCCCGCCACGCCCCCGGCCAACTAAGATCCCCGCCCCGCCCGGCCGGCCCGCTTACCTGGGACCAGCGCCCCAGGCTCAGAGCACAGCGGCTGGAGGCGGCTGCGCTGGAATGCAAACCACAGGAAGGCTGGCAGCATCTTCTCTGGGGCTGCACAGTGTCCAGAGCCACCTCTAACCTTTACTCCTCCAGAGCAGTGTCGTCTGTCTCCTTCCCTTGCTCTTGAAGTGTAGAAGTCTTGATCCTTCTGGCGTGGTGGCGTTTGGCTGTAATCTCAGCACTGTAGAGGCTGAAGCAGGAGGGTCGCCCATTTGAGCCCAGCCTGGGCAACTTTGAGATTTAGCGATACTGTGGTTCCGCTGCCTGCCTCGCAATTTCAAGGTCCAGAGTTCGATCCCGAGTTCGATCCCCGGTACAAAGGAAGGAAGGAAGGAAGGATGAAAGAAAGAAAGAAAGAAAGAAAGAAAGAAAGAAAGAAAGAAAGAAAGTTGAGGATTTAGCTCAGGGCGAAAGTTCTGGGTTTGATCCCCAGTACCAAAAATTTAAAAACTAAAATAAATAGAAGACTTGACCCAAGCTCAAGCCATTTTCCAGAACGGAAAAGAATCAGTCTCTCACCGGTAGTGGAGGTGGGGCCGGGAGCGAGGTTCTGGTGTGCAGAAGCGAGGCGGGCGGCCTTGGACACCAGGGCAAGCGTGAGAAGGGGGCGGGCGCCCGGGGCTGGGTTCTCCCTCTGGTTAACCAGCTGTGACCTTGAACTATTCGCTCCTCTGGCAGCAGAAGCGTGGGAAGGTCGTGGACTGGGCACTGAGAGTGCCGAACTTCAGGAGCGGGGTCTTGTTTAATCGCCACAACCACCCACAAGGTGTGATTATTCTTTCCTCTTTACAGACCAGGAAATGGAGCTGAGCAAAGTGAAATAAAGCGACCGGAAGAACAGAGAAGACCCCAGAGAGCTCAGCAGAGCGGGTGGGAGGCTGACAGACTCTGAGCAGGTGCAGGGCCTGGTGGCTGCCTGGAGAGAGGCTGGGTCTGGGCTCGGGTGAGCGGGGTGAAGACAGAGCTGAGCCCTGACAGTGTGATTGTCCCTGGAACGCCAAGCCTCAGTGAGCCAGTTGCTGCTGGCGGTTACTAATATTTGCACAACCAAATCCACATGCCAGAGTCCCTAGTCTGTGAGCACCTCGCCCGGAGCTGCATCTGCTGAAGGGCTCCGTCCCTGTGTCACTCCGGAACCCGAGGTGTGGCCCATTAGCTGAACTAACGTGGGTTCCAGATAATCCAAAAAGGAGCCAGGTGTGGTGGTGCATGCCTGTAATCCCAGCACAAGGAATCTCGAATGTGATCCCAGCCTGGGTAACCTAGAGACCTAGCAAGATCCTGTCTCAAAATTTAAAAAAGGTAGAGAGTGTAGTTCAGTGCAAAGGCCTTGGTTCAAGTTCAGCTGCCAAAAAGGAAAGAAAGAAAGAGAGAGAGAGAAGAAAGAAAGAAAGAAAGAAAGAAAGAAAGAAAGAAAGAAAGAAAGAGAAATAAAGAACGAAAGAAATTAGCAAGTGACTTCAGTCATTTCCCCTATAAAACATCTCCCCAAGATACCAAGCAGATGGTTAATATGCTCTCCCTTTGGCCCCCATAGAGGAACTCATATAAGCAGAGAAATGAAATGAAATGAGAGGAACAAATGGCCCAGATATGCCACGAGAATGGAATGCTCCCTTTCTGGATAACAGAAAAGGACAGGGATTTTTGTTTTGTTTTGTTGATTTTTTTTGAGACAGGGTCTCACTATGTAGTTCAGGCTATCATTGAATTCACTATGTCATCCAGGCTGTCCTCAGGCAATCCTCCTGCCTCACCCCCCCCCAGCCCTGGGTACTGGGATCACAGGTGTGCGCCACCACACCTGGCAGCAGCTTTTAAAAAAAATTCCAGCACACACAGAAGGATGGCAGTCTGTGCAGCACAGATTTTCTGTTCAGTGGCCCCAGGCTGCACCTCAAGTGAGCTCTTTCAGGAATGAGAAATCATGTGACCCTGTGGCAGATTCTGGCATCTCTTCTTGGGGACACCTGTGTGACCTTGGATAAATCATTTACCCTAGGCCCTATCTATGCCTTAGCTTCTTCGCCTAAAAAGATGAGCTTACTCTTTTGTCTAATTTAAAAGCATCTCAGGATAAAAGAGTGACTCTGATGTGAAGTAGAAGCTCGAAAAACCTGCATGTTTCCTCCTCGGAGTCTTTGTCACACCCCATCTGCACCTCAGCTCCCAGGACATGGTTCCCAGGGCCCCAAATCTCAGTCTGTGCCATGTTTTCCTCCAAGAAAAGGTTGATTTCTGTAGAAGTAGCACAGGAGTTTACCTTGTGAATGGGGACAGTTTTTCTGAAGGTCCTTGCCCAGGAGGAACGAGTCCTATAGTATCCTTTCCTCACCTGTAATGATTACTGCTGCGTCTACAGTCTGGAGTGATCATAGCTCTTTTCTAGTGGGGTGACTATGAGGGCTAAATGCCCATCAAGTGTCCCTGAGCACAGTTCCCTTGTTGTAGGCACCCAGGAAACAGGCACCACCCTTGGAGGAGGGAGGGTCCTCTTAGCAGAGAACAAAGCGTGGGGCTCCGCTGCTTTCAATTTAAATTTCAGTGATATCATATAGAAGCCTGCTTTGAATCATCAAAATTTCCAAAAAAGGCTTTCAGTGAACAATGCTGAGTTAAAGTCTCAAGAATGTGCTTTTTTCCTTCAGCCTGACTGAATGAAGGATACTCAGTGAAGTCAATTTGCAGCACAGCACCTGTTGCGTGGGTGGTGAAGACTTATTTGCCCTGAGGGGCGTGGGGTTCCCTGTGACTCTGCAGCTGGGACCTAGGCAGTTCCAGAGCCAGGTTTGGGAGCCTGGACTCCTGCAGCTCCCCACTCCCTTCAACTGGAAGGAAGCATTTAGGCACTGAGAAAAAACTTCTTTTTGTTTGTTTGAACGGGATCTCACTATGTTAAGTCCAGGCCAGCCTTGAATTCACTATGTAGCCCAGGCTGGCCTCAAACTCACGATCTCCCTGCCTCAGCCTCCGGAGTAAGGGAATTACAGATGCTAGACACCTCACTTGGCAAAAACACATTTAACTCAAATGGATTCTGCATTCATTTATCAAGCACACCAACGGAGACACAAAGTTCCTGAAATCTTGGGTCTGGATTAGTAATAGTTGTGGAAAAGCTATGCTCATTCGTTCACTAATGCACTGAGCACAAAAATCATGCCTTCTCTTTCCAGCTTCTCAGATCAAAAACTTCTTTGCAATTGTCCAGTTTGTTTATGCTCCTTCTCTGATTCACCAGCAAGTTTTCTTTTTGCTTGGCACCCATTTGCTGTCTCGAAACAAGACAGAGAGGACTCCTGCTGAATAGCCCCTCAGATCGGCCCACTTCCTTGCTTGAAGAACCAAAGTGCTCACCACTTCCCTCAGAGTCCGTCTCCAGTTCTCCAGTTCTGCTCCATCATGAGCACGCACTCTGCCCTCTTCTGCAATCGCCATCCTCACCTGGAATGCTCGGCCTCCAGCTCCTCCCGCCCAGGTGTTGGTTTACTTAGATTCAGCAGTCAGTGGGCTGCAGGGTCCATGGGCCCCTACCTTCCCGGTGTCTCCCAGCTTGTCAGCAGTGGGGCTCAGGATTCTCCATGACAGCCAGAGGTGGAGCTAAAATGGTGGCATGTGTGATCAGGCCAAAGGCTCACTAGAGCCAAAACAAATAAGCTCTAATGATAATCATGGCAAGCATCAGGGGCCAACTACTATCTAGGCTCATGGTCTTTGGGTTTGTCCTTTTGCTTAGTTTAGTGTCTGAGATAGGATCTTGCTACGTAGTTCAGCCTGGTCTTGAACTCACTGTAGCCCAGGCTGGTCTTGAACTCACTTTGTAGCCCTGGCTGACCTCAAACTTGCAGCGATCCTCCTGCCTCAGGCTCCCGAAAGTTGGGATTACAGTCATGCGCCACCACACCCAACAGATTTTTGTTGTTTTTAACTTTAGATTGTGTTTCTTCCACTCCAACAAAATGGAGAACATATTTTTGTTTGGTTTTTTGGCTGGTTTGTTTTGTTTTGTTGAGACAGGATCTTGCTATATAGTCAAGGCTGGCTCAAACTCATGGTGATTCACCTTTCTCACCCTCCCAAGTGCTGAGATTACAAGTGTGTGTCACCATGCTCAGCCTGGACATTTTTTTTTTCTTACCAGGAATTGAACTCAGGACCTTGCACTTGCCAGGCAGGCACGGTGCTGCTGAGCTACATCCCCAGCCCTGGATAACATATTTTTAAGGAAAAGAATCATAAAGACTTTCACCCTTGGGTGGAGTTTGGGTGGGGTGAGACATCACTGTGATTTAGGAAGACAGAGTCAGTCCTCACATCATGGGAAAGCAGCCGTGATGGCTATCTTGTCTCTTCCATTGCCTCTGGAGTCAGGGGATGCAGAGTCAGTGACTCCTTAATGAAGTCAGTGCTGATGGCTGTGGCTGGCACAGTCCTGGAGCCCTTCAGAGGGTGAAGTGAGGACGGACCATCCCGGAGGCCTGGCTGCTCCTCCTTCCAGGTGGGATGGGACCTTGCTCCTCAACCCTCCCCTCTTCCCCTCTTCTCCCTGCCCCTTGCCCAGCCTGCTTCTTCTCTGGGTGCCTGTGGGCCCAGCCCTCCAAGCTGGAGGTGTGGAGCTAAGGCTGAGACGCACCCCGGGCTCCCCACCCTGGCCTCTCTGGCCCAGGATTACAGACCAGCACCTCCCATGAATGCCTGTCCTTCGAGGCTGCCCTGCTCCCTTCCAGCAAGGCCTGCACCTGCCAGCCATGGGTGGCCAAAGCGAGGCTGGGCCAGGCCCTGCTCTGCTCCCACAGCCCCAGGCAGGAGGAGGCTGCGGGGTGACACTCGACAGCCTCATTTCAGAGCACGCCCATTGCTGCTGACCTTTCTTTTTCTTTTCTTCTCCTGTATTGGGGATTGAACCTTGGGCCTTCACACTGAGCTACTAAATCTCTACCTCTTTTTTAGTCTTTGTTTTAAAACGAAGCCTCATTAAATTGCCCAGTTGGGCTTGAATTTGTAGTTTTTCTGCCTCAACCTCCCCAGAGTGCTGGGATTAAAGGAGTCCACTACCATGCGCTGCTAATTATTGACTTTTCTTCTAAAATGACTCATGGCATCCTCTGTAGGTAAGTGGCAAAACAAAAACAAAAAAGGCTAGGCGTGGTGGCACATGCCTGTAATC